GAAGTTTCTATTTGGTATAACACAGTTTCGATCGACATCCATCCAGTACACGTGATCTCAGATGAATGTAAATCTGTACAGAAACCTAATCGGATGGGTTCATTAACAACACCAGCTTGTTCGACCGATCCATGTGTCAGTTTCTGTATTTCGTGCTTGCCGTAGCTCGCAAATTCTAGATTTAATTATTTAAACTTTAACTCTTCCGTCTGCAACCCATTTATTTACAAAGCACGATTAGAGGTCTTTCTCGGGAGAGAAAGTCGTTCTTTTTCAGGCTGATTTTCGTAATGACCTTATCTAATGTAACTGCGATTATGCACGCGCCAAAATCATTATTTAGCAGGAAATGGACAGTCGTGCCAATCCAGCTGTGACCTTTTCCATGCATTGATCTTGTCTTCTGCCTGGTCCAGTCTATATGCATTATGAATAGAAAATGGGCAGTTATTGATTATGAACAGAGTATTATTGGCTTTGAGTAGCACCAATACTCATTTGCGAAAGCATCATCATCCAGTCATTCGTTCAGGACACGCAGCTGAACAGTCTTAAGTTTTAGTGATTCCCCGTCGTTGCCCATCCACACCATTCCTCTGCCGTGCTTTTCATAGATTCGACAGGGATAATCCGTATAACATTTATCTTGGTCTGTTGAGCAGGTATAAATTTTGTTCGCCATTGTTCAGTCTATCAGACTCAGAAGAGTGGTCTGTGGTACGGTAAAAAATGTATATCAGATACGACTGATAACAAGGATACAGATTGAGTAAATTCTCAGGTACTTGGATGTTTGTCTACACATGAAATGTCGTTTCAAAGCATCTCGCTCAAATGCTATGGTCGGTTTTTTCATCTGGTCTGCACTTCTGGATGTCAAATAATTTAACGCGAGATGTTTCTCGTTAATATCATTAGTACATTTTGAAATGTTCCCGCCCTTCATCCTAATGATGCGGAAATTATTGCGGTGTGTAGTGTAGTTCATAATTCAAAATTTTGCTTTTCCTGCGCATGGACTTCTTTCAATTTTTGCCCAAAGTATCGAGAAGGACTGAAATACTATGGTGAAAGACGTAGTTCTTTAGTTTTAACGCTGTTAAGTATCATTTGTTTTCATTTTATTTCTTTTTTTTTCGAATCTAATTTCTTGGGTTATGATGAACTATATTTAACTTCTAATTTCCGTTGGTACGTCTGTCGAAACCTCACATATTGTGAAAATACGTAGCATTTCGTCTTCGTTATGTGTTAAGTAACGTTAAAGGTTTTAACGGTGTAACGTTTGACACGTTTACATTTTACAGAGTATATATTTTTCGTAAACCAACAGTTACCAGATATATTGAAATATGATATGGAAGCATTTAGCAGCTTTTGTACTTGTTTCAGATCCTTTAAACCCTCGATTCCATCCAACGGACTTTATGGAGTTTCCAGGGCGTTGCTGCGTAGTTCGTAGTTAACTTCCACTGATGAGTGAAGGACTCGCAAACGCGTATATTGCACTTCTAAAAATGTAATTAAATTAAAATGTCAATCACTGTTTAATGTTTAACTGAATGAAAAGCACAGAACCTGATAATGTTATTAATGACTAGAATCGTTTAAAAATGTCATTAATACCGGGATTAGAGAAGTTTTTTGTCATGTTCAGGTTTTTGACTGTGATTCTCAAAATATAATCTTTTCTACTAGAAATATTTCTGTTTTCTCTTTGTTCCTTAAACTATATGAATGCCTATAATTATCATTCATTTTACAGATGCCAAAAAAAGTTCATTATTGATCGCAACTCCAGCTGAGATTTAATGAAAGACATTTTACATTACTGCTCAATTTTGAAAATTTGAAAGTGTGCTGCTTCAGCACTTTCATGAAAAAATTCAGTTTATCAGCGTAAACACAAAATTATGTAAAAATGAAATAAAACTGAAAATAAAATCAGTGACAGAGGAAACTGTGAATAAATTATTACAATGTTGTCGCTAATCTAATATATGTTAGTCAATATTGTGAACAAAATAAGCAACCGAACATATCAAGTAAATATTTACTTAGTCAAACAAAACTAACCTTTAGTGATAACGATAATTATCCAGCTAAATTCTTTAAAAATTTTAAAGAACCAGAGAATACTGTATTCTAAATTGTCTTGTAACAAATAGTTTTATTAATAATACCTTAAATAATCCCTGCTAAAATGCTACGTTGACATGGTGGCTGGACTTGTTTTATGACACTCTGATGCCATCGGAACCATCAGATTCTGGTAGGGCCACCCATCCTTGACAGGTTTAAGGTCAGAGGCCAGACTAAGTGCGGCCGACCTTCTACTGGTGATTAGGTGCTGTTACATCGCTGAATGAAGCAGGACAGGAAAAATCAGAAAAAATGCTGTATGATTGTAGGAAAGCCTACCCACTTCCTTTCTCTCCCCTAGTGATTCAAGCGTGCAATGTCTACCGGCCAACGAATGGCCGTCATAGAGGAATATGTTGCTGAGTTGGAGCTGGATGAAAGGAGATGAGCATTTGATAGTGATATCATTGCGTGTGAAGATCAAGCGACTCAATGTATCAGTGAAATGATCTCAGGCAAACCTGTGATACCAAAGATCGAAATAGTTGATGTGACAAAAGTTATCCCACTGAATGATAGAGAAAAATCGCTTCGGTGCAAAGTTCTTAAGGAGTTTTAACGGCTTGAATTACCTATTGGACTTATTCTTCTTATCAAAGCCAAGAAAGAAATTCCAGAATATATCACCCAAGGTAACCGTGTCCTGAAGACTACACCAACCAGCAGAAGACTTCACCTTCTTGGATTCCATGAATAGTGTAATTTATGGGGCGGTTCTTTTAACAACGAAAAATCTGCGTTAAGCTGGAAACAAACCCAATAAGAAGAGAAAAGCCAACATTGTTAAGAAAAATCGTGAGTGAATAGGAAAAAGCCCACCAAGAAGTAAAACAGCTACAACAGTTATATGGAGATAACATAAGGAAATGAACGACAAACATAATGATACGGAATTGGACTAGAAAAAAATTGCAGAATTGCATGCGAGGCTTGTCAGAGACTATGAGTATCGGTAAAGTTTCTGATATACAGAATAGGTGCCAGCTGTACAAAAAGAACAGCGCCTTCTTTCGAAGTGCTAAAGCCCTCTATAGAAAACTGGACACAAAGCGATCATGCGGATAATTCGGAGATTTTTGACCATGAAGTTCAGTTCTGGAGAAGAACGTGAAACCGACGAAGCACACAACAAAGAAACTAGCTGGATAAAGGAAATACAGAAGATTGCTAATGGCATCTGGGAACAAAGAGAGGCCTCACTCACAAAAAACAATGTGCGAAAGTCGCTTAGGAAGATGAAAAACTGATCAGCGCCAGACCCGGATCGGGTGCGCACATTCCGGCTTAAGCGGCGAATATGGTTCCACTCAGGTATGACAGAATTCTTGCAGGAAGACAACCTTGATTAATGATAGGAGTGACACCTAGTCTTGGAGGACGACAGCAAGAGTTATAGCAAGCACCTGGACGAAGACCTGGAAACTCTTCATGTCTATATTATCTAACGCGGTATACAAGTATCTCGTGATGAACAAATAGGGTACCTGTTATTGGCAAACAAATCGCTACGTCCAGATTGCAAAATGAGGAAGACCAACATGGCCTATTAGATCGACTTTGGAAAGGCATTTGATGCAGTCCCACATATCTTGATCCTGGAACGCTTTAAACTTTACACATTCAACGACGATGTAATGGAGGTTTTTGAAGCAGCGACGAAATACTGGTGAAAAACACTATTATGGAACAAAGCCTCATTTAGATCGGTGACAACCGAGCGAGGAATCTGTCAAGGAGATTCAAACGTTCCGCTTCCATTTTACTGGGCATTAAATCCGCTCTGTTGTATGCAGAATAACAAAAGGAAAGTACATAGGTTGATAGATGGCAATGTAATATCGAATCTGTTGCACATGTGCGACCTGAAATTTTATATGCGATTCGTGAATGAGCTTGATGATCTGACCCAAAGCGGTGGAATCATTTTGGAGGAATCAAGATGCAATTCGATACCGATAAGTGTGCCATGGTTGACATTAAGCAGGGAAAGATATGGTAAAATAACGGAATGACGTTGCCGACTGCTACAATAAAAAGCTTTCAGGCAATCGTGCAAATGTTTCTGCGTACTTTGATAATATATTACAAACTAATAAAATTTAAAAATGGGATACGAGAAGAAAGTTTGTCTAATTCTAAAAAACAAGTTCGGTTGGAAGAACAAGATAGTGGTCATTAACCACTTTCCGGCAAGTGATATCGCCGAAGGACGCAAGCGGAATGACCAGCGCTGGAGATACAGGCACCAGAGATTCTGAACAAGCACGGGATGGTACTCGTTGCCCCGCGTAAAGAAGGATCAGTCTTTCGCAAGATCAGAAATACTCTAGCACCATTGAGGTCATCCCTAAAGCGTTTTTTTGGCAACAACAGTGTACGATACGTTCTTTAGGGCTGCAAAGGTTAACGGTCTCTGCAAACTCAGAAATGAGAGAATCCTCAGGAAACTCTACGGAGCGACTGATATTATGGTTGGATGAATCAGAAGGTTTGAAAGACAATATCTTCGCAATCTCGATGAAGACATAGGCATCCAGCAGAACATCAGCTGACTCTGTAGAAGCGGAAGCCCATGCATATAACAGAAACTCATACGCGGTAAAGATCCTCATACAAAGCAAATACGCACCCAGAAACAAAGTGTAAAATGTGTCAAGTGAAGGATGAGAACAAGAACCCGCATAATTTACGGCTACGAAACACTCACTAATCGAGAACAAGAAAGACACAACAACTTTGTAAGAATAGCCCACTGTGATTTGTGCACGATCAGACTTATTTGCGGGAAATAGTGGTGCAAGCATCAGCCAAAAGAGGTGGAGAGACTGAGGAACTGAAAATGCTCTGGTACTTCGCTCTGCGAACTGAGAAAGAAATTCCGGCTCATCGTCCAGATATCGTACGGCCAGCCAAAAGTCGTTGATATGGCATGACCGACTTATTTCAAACGTTGTATTTAAAAGGACAGAAAAGTTATTGAAATATCGAGAATTGAGGATGGAAATAGTATAGATCTGGAGAGTGAAGGAAGGAGTCATTCCTCGGCTGATCAATGCTCTGGAAAGAGTGAAAAGAGACCATGAACGCCTTCTAAAGTCATATGATGCAGTAATAAAGGTGGATGAATTTGAGAAGGAGACCCTGCTAGGAGTAGTCAGAATTTTAAGAGATCTGCAGCTCGTTAAGCTTTGGTAGAGGGCTAATGCTAAAGTGATTATCGTACTACTGACGTTACTTTTCGTAAAGTATTACTGAAATATATACCAGACGTTGTTGAATCTGGCATAGCATAGAAAATTTTGTGACGGTTATTTAACAGTACATGTAATATTAACGCAGTGAGTACAGCTTATTAACCTAACTGCTTTATTAAGTAATCTTAAGGATAACAGCTCTCCAGGATAGCTGTACAAATCACCATTTAACTGCGGGAAATGTTATATGAGAACAACAGGGAACATCGTCGGTCAAAGAACACCTGTCAAGCCGGAGAAAATGAATGATCGCGTACGAGCGTGAACGGCACGTGGCAGCGATGCATCCGGAAAGTAAACAGCCTCCAACCGAACCAAGTCATGGAGCAATGTGAAAAAGTATACGGGTTTGTGCTGTACCCTGCGCAGGAAAGAGGCAGCCTAATGTTTGAGTTTACAGACATCGTCAGCGTAAGGCATAGGCCAGAGACACACATCAAGCTTGCACTAGTCATTCATGATTTCAGGATTGACTAAGGATATGAACCCCGTACGATTGGATGAGCCTTATCTCCCCTGCTAGGATGGATCCTTATCTTCCTGACCGATAGCATGGACTAAAGGATTGATTTCTAACTCCAAGGATAAGAACTACTGCAGATGGCATAGGGGACTTTCGAAACTCACTTACGTCTCTGCCTTTGTGCTTGAGGCACGAGCGCAAAATTCGGCAAAATTTTTCTGTTACTGGACGATGTTCTTGGTTCTGTAGGAACGTGTTTTGAGTAGGTTTCGTTAAATCTTTCAAACTCATAAGCTCGATCCGATTAGGGAAAGCTATGGCATGACTTGTTTTTCCGTCATAGGAAAAAAGGAACTCAGTTGTGACAAAGTTGTGCCGGGCAGCTGCTCGACGCATCAGCTTCTTTCAGACATGATGAAACACCCTTTTAATCACGTTTCAGGAATGCGGATATCCGGGTAATTTAATTAATTCTGTTTTAAATCTTCATCTACATTTTGTCAAGTTTCCGCAGTTTATTGTAATAACTTAACGATCTTTCTCGATTTTTCTGAAGAAGTCTGTAGATATTTTTAAAAAATATGGTCTTACGTGTTTTTCCTGGCAGCACAAGCTGTGACATATATTGTAGGAAAAACTTACTTATCATCTGTATCGCGAACAAATTAATAACGTGGATTATTCCATTAAATATTTAGCATTTTTATAATAACAGTTAATGAACAAAGAACAGTTCTCAGAAGGTACTACCCGGAAAACTCCAGCTTTATTGCTCACACGCTGAAAAGTGACTGTCAGATGGACGAACTGATGTCAGAGCGTGATCGATCGTCAAAGCGACATTGTCAAAGTGCTGCTCAAGGAATCACTGCGATCTCAGACAGGAAGTGCAGCGGCACAGCCAGTTCATTTGATATTTCTATGGCAGGGGTGTGGTCATTTGCCTCGTCTGATTTGTGACACATGTTGCCCTCGTTCATACTGCTTATGTCACTTTGTGTCGACTTTCTCCAATTAATTGTTTTCCCGAGGATGGCCAATGTAGCTTGGCTGAAACCTTGGTATTCATAATTAAGAACTACCTTCGCTATGATTCTTTGTCTCTGGAACCGTTGATGTTCATGTTCATGTCCTTTTTTCTGTATTGTTTTATGAGTGTTTATTACATTTTGGCATAAATGTTGAATCATCAATCTTAAGAGTCGTTTAATCTTGATCGACAAACCACTATAGCTCTCTGCAGAGATCATGCTTTTTGCAGATGATTAAAACTTGTTTTTCAGAATTATTTTATTGAAGTCTGATTGTTGTTTTAGAACGAAGGATGCGTAACTTTGTTCTCAAACAACGGAAAGTACCTGCATTTCAAATCCCTTGTCGATGCACCAGATGCCTTCGGTCTGCGACGTTTCGCATTTTCTGTGCCTCGTTCTCATGCCGCCGCTGCAAGGCTTTGTACAGATCGACCATGGACCCCATTCGCTCCAACAAGCGTAAGCACCTGGTTGTCGGAAAAATCCTAAATATGATATGAAATTTGTACGTATCAATGAACAGTAATTTCTAATATTCACCTGAATTTTTGTCTGCTTCAATTAATATTAACACCCTAAACGGTTTGCTTTAAAAACAGTTTTCTTTTTATTGGTACTGCCAACGTTTCGGCCTTTTCTGTAACAGCAATGTTGAATGCAATTGTTTGACTTGCACTGAGGATGGAGAATGGCCAATATCCGGCTAGATATCTTGCTGACCTGAAGTACGCAGATGATTCTCTGCTGATGAGAAGTACAGGAAGTGGGATCTGTGACCTTACGACTTCTGTATGCAATAGAGCTGCGAAAGCTGGCCTCATTTTTAACTCGCGGAAGTCAAACGTTATGAGGAATTTATTCGCACAGCCAATCAACAAGTGGAGGAGGAAAGTGAAGCCCTTCAGGATGTTGACCAGTTCAAATATCTCGGCTTCGTCATGTCCCGTGACCGCACAAATCAGCCAGAATTAAACTGGAGGATCAGAGGATCAACCAAGGCTTGACTGTTTTTGAAGACCTATCGAATATTTGGACTGAGAAAGGAGTTACTCTTCCTAAGAAAATCCAGTTGTGATTTGTGTCTGTCAGATCATTGTTGTTGTACGGCATTGTTCTAACAAAGAAACAAGAACGATAGTTAAAATGCGTACATCAGCGTTGGCTTCGAGGCATAACGAGGATTAAATAGCATGACTTTATCAAGACTCTCTTTCCCTCCGGACGCCAGTGATGTCAACGGATGTGAAAATTGAGAAATGGAGGGATTCGCTTTTATACAAACTGGTCGAGCGTAAATCATTTACTTCATTCCAGGAGCTTCTAATGTGGCAGTCGTAACACGGCAGACGTCGACCAGGTAGCCAGCGTGCAATATGAAGAAACAAGGTCGAAAAAGAATATTTCCTTTTACGACCCAGTAGCCGGTCACTTATAACGAAAGCAAGCTTTAGAACCATGTGTCCGTTCGAACCCTGTGTTTAATTGTGCATCCGACATGACTTAACCACCCGGATTTATACTGAGTCAAACGAGAATATGCCGAGGCTGAAGAACGACAGCATGGCGAGTGACCTTAAGCTCGCAGCGCACATCCAACTTAGGTGCCGTTGTGGAACTCTAGACACGAGGCAAAGCCTCGGCAAAATACTCTAGGCATTCCTTTAAAAGCCGAAGATGATAGATTCCCTGTCCAGATTCGTTCAATGCTGTTACTTTAAGAGGTGGTTCATCTGAACCGGGCTGCTGATAAAAATCGGGGTCACCAAGTTTATCCATAAGGTTCCAAAAGAACCTATAAACCAGCTTCCTTCGCTACACTACTTGACAAGTCTAGTCAAGTCTACACCCGGAAAAGTGTCTTCCAGGATACTAAGGAAGCGTCCTATTAAACTATTGAATTCATCATATGGAATATATCCTTCTTTGAAAGCCATTTGAACCTGTCGTGTCCGCTAGGAATTATTTTTCTGACCTTCAAGCGGCAGCCCAGCCTGTTAAATCCGCAGCATTCGCTGGCAGTCG